GGGCCCTGCCCGGGGCTCGGGGGGTCTCGGGCCCTGCCCGTCCCCTCACCCCCCCGCGGCCTTGGCCCCGATGCCCGCGGCGGGTTCCGGGCCAGAGCGCTGCCCGGGGCCTCGGGACCGGCCTTCCCGCTTCCGAGGGGACGCTGCGTCCCGACCAGGACGTGCAGGGCGGCCGCAGCTACCGGCAGGGCAGCAAGGACGGAAAAAAGCACAAAAACCGTTTCACCAACAATAAGCCACCACTTTTATTAATGGATAGAAATAGTACAAATTTTAAATTTAGTTGCATTCTACTCTTCTCTGAAACACCAAAAAAGGCTCCTCCCGCCGACAGCTACATCGTCAACTCCTGCAGGGAGAAAGGGCAGTGAGGAGGAGCCCGGCACGGGCACCCGCACCGGCGTGGCCACGCCACAGCCGGGGGGCCCCGGCCCCCAGCCAGACCCCCGGCACAGGCGCGAGGAAACCCCCTCCTGCCCCCAGCACAGAAACCAGCCCGTAGGAAAACTGCATTTCCAACCAGCGCGTCTCTTCACACCACCATTACAGCGTTTGCACATCACAGCGTTGACACTCACCATTATAGCGTTTACAATGTCATTACTGTTGTTCTTCAGGGCACGCACTGCCTTTGCTCGGGACACGTTCGCCTGCGACATGACCAGCTCGATGTCTTTCACCTCAACGCCGGTCTCGTCAACCTAAGGAGACAGAGCAGATGGGCTGTGGCTGCGCTCTCAGCTGCTCCGTGTCCCGCAGGGAAAGGCGGGATCGTCCGGAGCGGCACAGCTCCGAGTTAGGTCAAAGGCAGAAGATCGGGTGCTCTCTGGTCCTGCAGGGAGTCTTCACACAGTAACCAGGACCAGGGGAAGGACCCTGCGCGTCACATCTGTCATCAAACCAGGCACTCGGAGGAAGAAAACTGTGCCATCATGGAGAGCTGTACATGTGACGCAGACGGAGGAAGGCCGCCTACCTCCTCCTCCTCGCTCTCCTCCTGCACGGTGGGCGTCTGTGTGTTCTCCTGGATGTTCGACACGGCCTCTCCTTGCACCTTGAACTTTTCAGCAGCTGCCAGTTGGGCCTGCTGGGACAGGTCCTCGATCTGCAGGAGAGAAGCGCGAGTGAGGACAACCCTGCGGCACCACCACGCCGGGCAGCCCCGCGGCCCCACACCGGCTCTGCGGGGCGTGCGCGGCCGCAGGGACGCAGGCAGGTGGCCACGGGGGCAAGGCCAGCGCCGTCACCCCACTGCCGGGCACGCAGAGCCCTGTGGCCGCAGGCACGGCGGAGGCCAGAGCACCTTTGCCTCGCCGAACACGATGTAGGTGTCTGATGCGGGGCTCTTGTACACGTCAGGCTTCGTGATGACGAAGAGGATGTTCTTCGATTTCCGGATGGTGACTCTGGTTACCCCTGTGACCTGGCGAAGGCCCAGCTTAGACATTGCCTAGAAGTGGAAAAAAAAAATGAGCAAAAGGGTGAGAGACAGCGAAGACAGTGAGGACAAGACACGTGTGCTCATCCGCTCTCTGGGGACCCGGGCTCAACAACCGCTGCGCTCCTGTGAATGGAAACGCGCGTTTGACTGCTGCACACAACGGCGCCGGGGAAGGGAGGGAACCTGCCATTGCCAGCACAGCCACAGAGCTGCGGGCCAAAAGGGCCCTGCTGAGCGCCCGGCCGAGGCACAAAGTCACCGCAGGCTCTCAGCTGCCGACAGCGGCCCGGGCAGGACACGAGGAGCAATCCTGAGCAGGGTCCACGGGATCAGCTCCCCCGCACTGAGAGCTCCCGCCCCACCCTGAGGGGAATCCTAGAATCCTAAAGGTTGGAAGGGACCTTTAGAGATCATCTAGAGCAACCCCCCTGCACACTCAGGGGCACCCAGGGCACGTGGCACAGGGCTGTGTCCAAGCAGGCTCTGAACATCTCCAGAGAAGGAGACTGCACAGCCTCTCTGGGCAGCCTGCTCCAGGGCTCTGTCAGCCTCGCTGTCAAGAAATTTCTCCTTAAGTTCCTATGGAATTTTATTGCTCCAGTCTGTAGCTATTTCCTCTTGTCCTGTCGCTGGCCACCAAGAAGAAGGGGCGCCCCATCCTCCTCACTCCCACTACTGAGGTATTTATAGACACCCATCAGGTCCCCTCTCAGCCTTCTCCTCTCCAGGCTGACCGGGCCCGGCTCAGCTCACCCCGCACAGGTCCTTCCTCTGCGGATCCCCTCCTACCTTCCGTGCTTTCTTTTCACTCCGACTCTGTTTGGCTTTGCTGACGGGTTCTTCATCTATTTCGGCTGCTGCCGCAAGCTGCAAGGACAGAAACGAGAGGGCCCTCAGAGAGCTCCGAGCAGGCGCTGACCTGCATGGAGGCAACGACAGACCGAGGCAGGTCCCTTGCGTGGGGCTCTCCCACCGCCGCTGCCGGGCTCGCTGCCCGGGACGGGGCAGCCCGGGGGGCTCCCAGGGCCTTTCCAAGGAGGGAAATTTCCAATTTCCCAGGCGGGATCTCCCTGCATCCACCGCAGCCCTGCAAGCTCGGGCAGTCGCGCGCCCAGGGGACAGGAGGAGACCGTGACTGGCCCCACAGGCAGCCCTACCTGCGCCTGCTGTGTCGTGGCCTGCGTAGAGTCCTGCTCTTCGAGTTCTGGTACGGATTCATCGCTGTCGGATTCTGTCCCGGACCCTAGTGAAAGGAACGCGTCACCCTCGGCAGCGCGGGGCCTCGCGGAGAGGCGGCCGAGTGCCCGGGCACAGCAAGAACAAAGAACCAAACTGCTCTGGCGCAACTTCTCTTGCAGGGCTTGGTGCTGACACGGTTAATTCAAGCAGGGCTTTACGGGAACATGTGAACACACTTGAAACAGCAACTTTTGTGAAACACACGGGAAAGCCCCGAAGAAGAAATCCCATGCAATCATCTGGCTTGTCAGATGTAGCTGTTAGTCCTCCCTGTACTTAAAAACACCAGAATTCCACCTGAAATGAAGGCTGGGCTCGTGTGTGCAAGCGACACCTGTCAGAAGGAGCTCGCTGCCCTGCCCAGGGCTGTCCCGGGGCCATTGGGGCGCAGCGGAGGCCCCCGGCGCGCGCTGCCGGCTCCCCCGGAGCCCGAGCACTGCCGCGGCTGCTGGCGGCAGCGGCCCCGGGGCAGGGAGTGGGCGCCAGCCCCGCGCCGCCGCTCGGCACTCCCTGGATTCTGCCCCAACCTGCTCAGGAAGCTGCAAAACCGGGGACGGCAGGAGCCGCCGAGCGCAAGCAAACGAGAGCCAATCCCCCAGTGCTCCTGGGGTGCTCCTGGGGCTGCTTTTGGTCCTCCTACTGAAGGGGCCGATTTGTAACTCCCTTGAAAGCCTCTTTCAGGAAACAGCGTCTTTGGATGCTCTAGGTGGCATGTGAGCCGGGGCCCCGAAGCTGCCCCAGGCCCCGGAGTGCTCAGGGCTGCCGGTTCCTGCGCCCGGGCACAGAGGCCACAGTCAGCGAGAGCCGGCGGCCCCGGAGCCCGCGTGCGACCGCGGAGCAGCCAGGGCAGCTCGGACGGGGCGGGCGCAGAGTGAGGGCACCCCGGACGGGGCGGGCGCAGAGCCTCCCCTCGGGCCGCTCTCAGCGCCCTGTGCCCACGGGTGCGCACCGAGCTGCAGCGAAGCTCCCTGCGAGCCAGGACATCTCCATCGCGTGGGCAAACGCGTCCCCCCTGCGCGGGGAGCCACGCGGAGAGCGGCAGGCGCAGAGGGGACAGAGGCGCAGAGCCGCCCGCTGCTCCGTGCCCGAGGAGGCACCGTGAGCGCCGCCGGGCACCCCGGGCTGCCGCCGCAGCTGGGCACGAGGGTTAGTAGCCGGTGGGCAGCCAGCGACACTCCATGCACACAGCACACCGAGCAGCAAATACCCTTGTCATTCTTCACCGCGGGCCGCTTGGCCGGAGCCTCGGCGGGCGCCGCGGCCGCACGCCGCACCGGCTCCACCGGGACGGGCTGCAGCAGCGGCTCCGCGCCCGGAGCCTCGGGGGGGATCAGGGGCGGCAGGTCGTCCTCGGCGGTGGCGGCGGTGCCCGCAGGCTTGGCAGGGGGGGCGTGGGGCGCCAGCTTGGAGGGCTTGGCGGGAGGCAGCTGCTTTTTGGGGGGGGAGGTGGCCGGCGCCGGGGGGGGCCCCCCTGGGACGGAGGCAGGAGGTTTGGTGGACGGTTTCTTGGGGGCCGCAGCCCCGGCTGGCGCCTTGGGGGGGCCGTCAGCAGCCCCCGGGACTGGGCAGGCGGCAGCGGGAGCCGGGGCCAGCGCGCCGGGCACGGCGCTGCCGCCGGCAGCCGGAGCAGCCGCGGGGCGCCCGGGCGGCGACTCGGCTGCTGGACGGGCAGCAGAGGCAGCAACCGGGCCCTGGGGAGCGGGGCTGCCGGCCGCAGCAGGGGCAGGGCCCACGGGTGATGGTTTGGCTCCTGCAGAGGGGGCAGGAGCTGGGACAGGGGCAGCATCAGGGCTCACGGGGGGAGATTTGGCCCCTGGAGCTGTGGCAGCAGCAGGGGCAGTGACAGGGGCCACGGGGGGCGATTTGGCCCCCGGAGGGATGGCAGGAGCTGGGGGAGGGGCAGGGACAGTGCTCACAGGTGACAACTTGGCCCCTGGAGGGGCAGGAGCTGGGACAGGGGCAGTGACAGGGCCCATGGGTGGCGACTTGGGCTCTGGAGGGGTGGCAGGAGCTGGGACAGTGACAGGACTCACAGCAGGAGATTTGGCCCCTGGAGCTGCAGCAGGAGCTGGGACAGGGCCCACGGGTGGTGATTTGGCCCCCGGAGGAGGGGCAGGAGCTGGGACAGGGCCCACGGGTGGTGATTTGGCCCCCGGAGGGGTGGCAGGAGCTGGGACAGGGCCCACGGGTGGCGATTTAGCCCCCGGAGGGGTGGCAGGAGCTGGGACAGTGACAGGGCTCACGGGTGGTGATTTGGCCCCCGGAGGGGTGGCAGGAGCTGGGACAGGGCCCACGGGTGGTGATTTGGCCCCCGGAGGGGTGGCAGGAGCTGGGACAGGGGCAGGAGCTGCCAGCTCTGGTGCAGCAGGAGCAGACGGGGCAGCAAC